TTAAATTAATTTTTTGTGGTTTTGTAATTTTTTTTTTTTTTTTTTTTTTTTTTTCCCCAGAATCTTCATGACAATGTGAACAAGAAGGACGACTAGTGGTGATGACTCAACTTTCCCAAATCAGCAAGAAAGCCACTGCAAAATGTCACATCCATCTGATAAAGCTGAGGAACAGACTTTGGACTGACAGTTGTGATGGTTTAAAATTTGGTGAATATCTGTTTTTGTAGTTAAATTGTGCTCACTTTGTGTTTCCACTCGCTGTAGCGTAACTGAGAGAATTTCTGAAAGCAATCAGCAAAACACTTTATGCGGGTTAAGGCGATTATTCGATCACAGAGCGTGTCACAAGCTAAGTTAAGATGCGTGCTTTCTCGTGCAAGCTGTTGATTCCTAGTCCTTTAAAATAAAAAATGAGTATGCTGAATGTGCTGAAAGCTGAAGATGTTCAAAGCTGCATTCAAAGGTTGTAAAAAAAAAAGAATGCTTTTGTTTCAAACACGTTTTTATATTACGATTGCATGACGCATCTCCGTGTTAACGTAAAGCATGCACATGCTTCTTCGTAGGTGAAGCTTAAATGTAGACTTCGACTTACATGAGTCATCTTTACATTTACGATGTTCTCTCTCATACGGTCGTAATTCTTCCATGTACTAGGATGTAAAAACACACCATCCTTCTTAACTTTCACACGTTAACGACAAATAAAGAGTCTGAATGGATACGACTAGAAAGTCAAAATAGATTTGTGTTTTTTTTTTTTTTAAATGTATTTCTTACCCTAATGGGTTCCTAGACTTCTATAGTTGTTGCACTGCATTTCACACTTATGGTTTACAAAATAGGAATGTATGATTATTTCATTGAGCATCTTTTCCGTTATTTTGGTTCATGTCACTGTGATTCTTTGTTCTTCGTACTAAAGAAGTTAAGGTAGGGAATCGCAGCACGGTTTGTACGACCTTATTCAGGTTGTTTTCTTTTGTACAAAGACATTCAATTGAAGTGCCTTTTTTTTTTTTTTAGCTGTGCTTTAATAAAGAAAAATAGGTTTGGTCATCCTGTGCTTTGTTTGGGTTCTTTCATTAATAAACACCACCAAAACCATGACGTGATTTTTGATAATAAATGTTTATTTTTGATTTGACATTTATGATATTCCTTCACATTTTACAAAAATAATCCAGGAAATTTATTTACAATCTGGTTACTTTAATGCAGCTGAATGCCTTTCATATATTATTGGTGTAATGTTTTGTTTTTTCTTCCTGTGAGCGGCTCACTCCGCGTCTGCCTTACTGAATTTGAACAACCAACAGACGACATGGACAAAAACACACTTTCAATAGAGAAAATGGCAAAAACCTCTGAGATGAATCTTTTGAGACATCACTGAAAATGATAATGAGATTGCGTGAGGAGGATTATGACCCATACTTCCAAATCCTTGAATTCGGTTGCTTTGCAATTGTTAAGAAATTTACACAGTTTACATTTCAACCATTAAAAAAAAACAAATCCAAACATTGACCTTGCAAAGAACCACCGTAGCTTCTGATTTGGATATTATAATCGCACAAAGGTTCCTCATTGTGCATAAAACACTTAAACACAGATCAAACCTGCCTGCAGCCGTTATGCGTTTCTCTCCCTCCGAGTGGGGCAAACAAACCAGTTCCAACCGTTCTTCACAGTTTAATCCTGCAAGACTCCTGTCGCACATTTTTTATTGAATGGTTTTTAATGTTAGTTCAAAACAACTATGACTGAAGAAAGGATGGAAAGACAGAGAGTCAAGAGCCCATTAGCACTTAAAGCCAAACTGATGAAATCACACTGCTCTTGTTTTAGCCTAAATGTGAACAGCAGAAGCAGTGGCTCAAAATATTTTGATATTCCTTCTGAGGCTTCACTTTGCAATCTATGAGCTTAACAAGTTTTCAAATTTGGTGTAATAAAAACAATAAAATGGGGAGACCCGTCTGAGCTTTGGAGCTAAAAAGCCAGGACAGTTTCAACAAAAGGCAAAAAAAAAAATCTTTGTCAAGCAGACTGAGGTTACAGCGTTTTTTTTGTTTTGTTTTTTTTTTCTGTTTTGTTTGTTTTTGTGCCAAAACTCAACCACAACAAAATCGAATTTTAATTAGTTTAATTAATTGGAAACAAATTGCCACATTGGCTACATCATTATAAGACACTGTTAACAACTTTTAAGTATTTGGATTAGTTAATACCAAAACAGAGGGATATGACATTATCTTTATTAGCAGTAGCAAAACAGCAGCCTACAGTGAATGCATGTTTGTTAACTATGATTAAGAAAGAGATAAATCATTCATCTCTGAATTTACAAACTTAAGGCATGAAATTTAGGCGTTTTTCTATTTATATTGTTTCTAATACAAAAAGTTAGGTGCGTTTTCAAGTATTGTTAAAACATTTAAAATACAGTTTCTAATATTAGTTTGAGAGACTGTCTAATTTGCAAAAAAAAAAAAAAAGGCTTCTGATTATTCAGCACAAGCTTAATCTGGGAATAAAACCTGAGAGATCAGAATGATTCAATGGTTTGGCATAAATGACCTCAATCTAACAGAAAAAGAAAAAAAAAAAAAAAACAACGAACCAACAGAGCATATTCAATAATCACTGAAGATAAAAAAAAAACATACAGAAATACTCCCTGTAGTTCCACTTCACATACTTTTTACTTATCCACCTGCCCCAAAAACACCCAACATAGAAAATACCAAGAACCAACTGCAACACTAATCATTAAAACACAATAATAAACTTTTTTTTTCTGAAAACTAGAAAGAGCGTGTGTTTTCTTAAAAAAAAAAAGTTTTTCAGAATTAGTGGGGAATGTGGATATTCAAATCATAATCTCTAAAAAAAAATTTGAGCAGATTATGTTGAAATATACATTTTAATTTGTAAAGGTTGTGAATTTAAACATTTTTTTTAATCTTTTTAACTCCATAGGGACACAGCACAGAAATACAATCAAATCAAAATCTGTAGTGGTGGGGGGATTAAAGGCAAAGTCCATTTTGCACTACATTTAAAAATTTAAACACGTTTCTATGCAATTTTATAGACCAGCAGCTTAAAAACCTGAACGGAAAACTGTTCACATGCGAGTCAAGAGGACAGATGGCACACAGAGGTAACTGTTGAGTGAATGAGGCACATACTGTGTACTTAACATGACATCAACAGCCGCAAACCCTCAAAAAAAAAAAAAAAAAAACTTCCCAAGAACCCGTCAAAACCAATAAATACACACAAAAAAAAGAACATTTCTTTGAAAGCCTGCCATGCCTCTCATTTCTAAGGACACTTTACCTCCTTTGTCTAATAACACTGGCAACGGGGAGAACTCTTTCATTTAAAATAACTATCTACAGAGGCAGCTTAATTGATGCTGGTGTATAAAACAAACTGGAGTGTTGTAGCGGTGGTCATCGCTTCCTAGTCACGTTTCCATTCTGAGCCTTCTGTCCGGATTTTTTTAATTTTTTTTTTTTATATTTGAGGAAAAACGGCAGAATGTACATTCCATGAATTTGTCAGGCGGGTTAAATTTCGGCCGGAGTCTCAACACCACACATTCAACGGTACAATTATAGATTTCATGGTCGACGTGAGATGACTGAACAGAAGTTGTGATTCCCTGCAAATCTTGTACGCATGTATGCATTTATATGTATATGTGGCGGTGTGTATTCACGTGTGTGTGCATCACTTGGGTACATACTTTGGATGTACTTTCTTATGAGACAGACACTTTGGAGTCTTTTCTGTTTCTCAGCAGTCACAGCTGGGTGTGCCTGTCTGTGCTGTTGTCCGTCATGTGCATGGCTCGATCAGAATTCAGAACCACAAGCTCCTCTTTTCTGAGCGCCTCCAGTTCGGTCCCGCCGTTCGTGACGGCCCCGTGCGGGACGCTTTTGGTCTCCTCCTCCTCCTTCAGCTGTCGGCTGAGCAGGATGAAGCCCGGGATGCAAATGACGAAGGAGATAGTCCGCAGGCTCAGAGTCAGGCCCAGGTAAGATATCCTGAGGGGAGTGAAAGCGAAGAAATGAGCGTTTTACTAAAAAGCGCCAAGGGGAAAGACACCAGATTGTCACGATATCGTGCATGCACGCGATGCATCAGCGACATTTTAGAAGTTTTGCAAAAAGACTATTTCGGGATGATTGTTAATTTTTATGAAAAGTGAACGTGCGCGAGCACAGCCACTACCTGTAGGCGGAGGTATTGTAGATTCTGCAAGCTCCAATGCCGCCGCATCTTTTCTGACCCCATTTTAGGCATGTGGTGTCTATAATCGCTCCAAAGTAGATGGGTGCTGGGATCCCTGCTGTGGAACCACAAGGCAACAAAACGGGTTTAGAACGGTGCCCAAGAGAACCGAGGCAGAACTGTGCAGAATGGTTAAAGTTACTCCATAATTCAGACATTTAGCTTTTATGGCATAGTAAGAAACGAGAATGAAAACCTCCTTAGGAAGGTTTAACGCCAAGTCAGTTCACCTTAAAGTGAGAGACTTTACCGCCTCTTCAAAGAAAACTTACCAAGTGTACGTGTTGCCAAAGCATGAAAACCGAGGGCCAGAGATTTCAATTGTGGTTTTATGCACCTGTGTAAAGAATAAATAAGTATCTTTTAGATATAATAGAAAAAAAAACATTTCTAAGCAACAGAATATACAGAATATGTTTATCTTGATGAGTTCCAATCTAACACCTTTAACATGTTGACTGTACAAATTTGTTTCAAACCACCATAAAAACCAAGGTGGAGACTGTATACCACTATGGCTGTTTATACCTGATTATATGGAAGCGCTTTGCTGCCAAATACTGGTTGCAGTTTTACCAAATTGTACAGAATTTCATTAATTTGCACTCTGCTATTTTCAAACAAATAATACTTAATAGAGAGTCTGAAAGCAAAAACCAAAATAGTTATTTTTATTTAACTGTCAATGAATTCAGGCTGTAACAGATTCACAAAAAATAATCTTAAATACATGAACAATGTCTGATTCAACTAAGCTAGAATAACATAAAAAAGCTAATAATTTACAGATGAGGATATAAACAATAACACTGAGATGTCTATGCTGCATTTTTCCCAGGAAAACTGGCCTTCCTATAACAAGTTGTAACATAAATGAAGCAATTATTGCTTTGAATTTATCTAAATAGAGTTTAAAGAAAAACATGGCACAAGTTAGTATCAAATTATTATATAAATTCGTTTTTCACTTGCAATCTTCCAAAAGCTACTGAAATTCTCTGATACAGACATTGCCATGTGACAACTGGTTAAAAAAGAAGAGTCTTATGGCATTTTTTTTTCTTTAATAGTTGGGAGTAAGCCAGCAGAGGCTACATGGTGTATAAGACTTCATAACATGTGTCCAGATTGGCAATAATTACAAATGAACAATGCAAACATTATATATTTTAAAATCTTAAGTCACAGATGAAGTCACGACCGGTTAAAAATAAAACACACACCCATTTCCTTTCAGGTATTGAGATATTAGAACAAAAATATGATCTGGCCTTTATCAGGTTCTAAAAATGACGTGAGTTCAACATCAAGTTTGCAAAAATGACACAACAGGGACCGTTGTGTCATTTAAAAAAAAAGTAAACAAAAAAAAAAGTAAAGCTAAAGTGAAAAGGCAACGTGTCAAAACCTGGGAATACTCCTCCTGTTCAATAGGATTAAGGCTGAAATCATTTGCCCCCAACAGGCGTTAGCATCTCAGTAAAAGCAGAAGATTTAACGGCTTACTTGATGTGTGCTAACAAAATACACAGTACGAAAGAAATCAAGGATGTGTGCAGAGAAATTAAAGAGAGTTTCTGCAAAGGATTCCAAGACCAGTTCTAGGCCACATGGAGGTGCTCAAGTCTGTTGAATTTCCTGCTCAATGTTGGTTTCAGTGTCATTCTACTCAGTTTCACTGCTTTTCCATTTTTCACCCTTTTTTTTAAAAAAAAAAAAAAAAAAAAATTCCCCGAGATCAAAGATCTCTCGGTAACACTTTATTTGAAGGGGGGTGAATAAGACTGTCATGACACTTTCATAAACATGACATATCACCTGTCATGAACATGAATAAGCCTTCAGGAATATTTATGACTGTTGTCATAAAGCGTCATTCGGTAAATTATGACACTTTTAATACAAAGTTGACATTATTCAAAATGTCTTCGTTATGACAACTTGACATTAACCAAGAAATCATTACTGTTTAAACTTTACCTTTAATAACATAAAGTTACCTAATTTTTAAAGTGAAATCAGTAATTATTTTATAACAAATTTATATCAGTAATGATTTCTGCCCCTGGGGCTGTGTACAAATCAGTGAATCATACCTGGCTCACAGTCAAGACCACGCTGTGAAATAGAGGGAGAACGAACATTAATGGGTCTAATCTGTGAATGCTAGTTAACTGCAGGGACACTCAGTCTGACTAATTCATGGGTGGAGCGGTGAAACGCGCAGATGTAGGCAGCCAAAAGCCAGTAGAGTCTTCCTCAATAAATCAGCAACATAGATTTTGTTTTTACAGATTCAGATCAGGGTAAAACTTGGCAGCAGTACTAATAATCTCAGAGCCTGCCGGCTGGAGAGAGGGTCAGATGTTAACCTCTCAAAGTAGGGAGTTAGTTGGGTAGGGACTTAGCTCTTCAGACAACGAAACCCCAACACTAGACGGAGTCACTGTTTCTCTGCGGAGGGCAACCTAGGTTTTGGTCATATTTAACTAACAAAAATATACAAGTTGCATTTATGTTAAATCAAAACTCTTATTCTAACGGAGCAGAAAAAATATTGCTATCCCAACATTTCAAATGTGACTGAATCATTTTTTGTATTATTATTTATGCTGAAGTCCAGATACTTCCGTGAAGAAGTTTATATTTAAAAATAGATTAAATGTGCAAAGAGACAAATAACATGAAGACGCATTGCAAGTAAATGAAAGAACAATTCTGAAAGTCCGTTATGAAGGTTGAACGAATGAAGCAGCTACTGGACACTGTGTACAGACTGGATGATTAAAATAATATTCTATTAGATTTAGATTATGTCAAACAAGATACCAGGCAGAAAGTAGCTCAGTACCTCAGTGGCTGTGGTTTGCTGCTTATTACATAATGTCATGGCAAAGGCCAGATCTCTTTTCTCTGTTTCTCTGTGTGCATAATAAATAGAATGGAGTAAGACACAAATAATTAAATCACTGTTGAATGTACCGCAAAAGATTAAGGTGAGCCTTGAAGTGAAATAATGGCACATTTTCTGTGCAATAACTGAAAATGTAGCAGTACAATGTTTTCTGTTCTAAAAATACAGAACTATCAGTATCTGTATTGTTTGTATACAGTATCTGTATAAAGGTATTTCATCTAATTTATATATATATATATATATATATATATATATATATATATACCTTATGTACACAATTACGCTCATAACCACACATGTGCACTTGTATGTGGTGTGTCGAGCAGGGCACAGTAATAAAAATAATAAATAAATAAATCATTTTTATTTTCAGCAGTCACTGGGCAACAGGCAGAATACACACACGCTTCCCTAAAGGCAGTTTAGCAAAACCAGGTAATCCAACAGTCGTGTATTTGGACCATAGGGAAAAAGTCGGAGTACCCAGACAGAACCCACACATATATCTGGAGTCCAGATCGGCTTTAATCCCAGAACATTCGTACTGCAAGTCAACCGTGCAACCAACCGTAACCACCACAATCAGTAATTGCAATTGTTTTGCCATTGGACTATAAATTTATAGCTGACCTGATGAGAAACATGTATCCTGGAGTCCCACCAAGCGAGATGATGAAGGAGGTTATGACAGAGAGAGCTAGGAAGTACGGAAACATCCTGTCACAGTCCTCCTTGTTGAGGCACTGACCTGTTCCGGCCGTAAAGTTACCAGTCACACCGACGCAGCTACAGTTAGAGAAGACCTGGAGACACACACACACACACACACACACACACACACATAAAGCAGGACAAACACATGTACATATATGCAAACTCTCAACAATACTGTGGCTAAATAAGAACACAGCACGCAAAGCACAGCTTTCTGTTTTGTTCCTTTGATTTTACTTGCAGATAGATATAAGTAAAGGTGCTCTACATACAACACCAGATAAAAAGTGAGGAAACGTACTGTGTTTTTCCCTGAGCCTGTAGAAGTAGTGCAACCAGCCAGACAAGGAGAGACATATGTGATGCCATTCTGTCCACAGACTGGGTCCCACTCACTCGATGAACAAAAGCAATCCGAGTTGCAGGGCATGAAAAGTGAGTTTTTGTCATAGGATATACTATCCACACTGGAAGGCAGAGAGCAGAAAGACAGTGTTACAAACTAAACATAAAAATGATTAAATAAGAATTTAACACAGATTTAATACTTGCCAAATCAATGACACCGATGATACTAATCCATCAATGTCATCAATGTTGACGAACTAACTCTATAAAGTATGACCCATTGCATTTTAAATCTATCTGTAATAGGTTAATAAGTGTTAATGGAAACATTTAAACAGAAGTTTAACATAGTTGATTTGCCTAAATAAATCCAAGCCACACAAACGAGATTTTGTTAGAACCACGGTTCCCTATTTCACTTGAATGCTTTACCTACAACTAAGGTCAGAATTATTAGCCTCAGTAATGAGATGTATATGTTTGTTGTTCTGATATAAAGTCCAACGCTGATTGATTAATTAGGACTGGTGGGAAAGTTAATTCCATGCCTAGGTGTGTTTTTAACATTTTTCCAATGAATTGTCAGATTTACCTTGGAAGTAAAGAAAGCAGACGAGGGCTTTTAATTTTGGCCGTATCATTTTTAATTTGTTTTTTTTTTTTCTTTTTACAATTCCAGACATTAATAATATATCAATAATAATATTGTGTGAGTTCATCGGGGGAAGATTTAGGGGTGGGGGTATTAATAATTCTGAATGCGTTGACATAATTGAGACTTACTTGTTGTATGATACTGTCACTCCGGCTACTTTGGCGTTCTCACAGCTCATTGTGAAAAACAACATTGACAGGACATATCCAATCAAGGAGGTGCAAAAAGCAAACTTTGCTGCTCCCATGATGTTCAGTTTCAGCCTCTTCATCAGCAGACCACCAGAAAACATCCCCAGTGCCACAGCAGGGATATTGATCACACCTGAAAATAACGATCAATTATTATGTCAGATGTGACATTTCAAAATAAGATTAATTGTGATTTTTGACAGAAGTCGGCACAAGAACGCAATTTATTTTTGGGGCACTTTTAGTAGAAAACTATGACGACCCAAGCAGCCATAAAAAATAACTTTAACTGCTTTTTTTTTTATTTTATGCTCTGATACCTTCATTTAACATGAGAGCAAAGAGACTGTCTTTGATCTGCTCACGTCATTAACTGTGGTTACTGATTTTTGATTCTCTTTCATATGCATCCAGTTCGGGCAGCGCAGTCGTCTCCCTTAATGAGACCAGATGAGCCTAGATATTTTCATTTTATTCTCTGAACTTCATTAAGTATTTCATTTCATGTGCAGAGCAGTTCTCGTATTCACAGAGCTGGAAGTGTAGCTGTCAGGGCCGCTGGTAGGATGAATTACAATACACAGCTAAGGTCAAAATAATTAATCCCTCTGACAAATTTAGGCTCGAAATCAGTTCCATTTAACCAAAAGTTTTGTTCGTACCCTTCATCGAAATGACAGCAACAAAACACTTATAATTAGTGACCAACTTTTAACATGTTGTCCTTGGTGTTGAGCAAACTGTATGAGCTTATAACAACTGTAGAAGTTACAAACAAGTCAGAATGAGTACTGAGGAGGCAAAGTTGATGGTGAGAATTTGATTGAAACATAATAACGCAAAAAAACAGGAGAACCCAGTGGGCAAGAGAAGATGCAAACAGGTACCAAAAGAATCCAGCAGTAATTGAGTGGAGCTTTTAAACAGAGGAGTTTGATTATTGACAAGCAACAGGTGGCAGATTGGCAACCAGGTGCAAGTGAGAGAGGAAACCAGACTAAAAGGCTGAGGAAGGGAGAGACAGAGAGAGAGAGAGAGAGTGAAACGGCATAAAGGAGCAAGGAGGAAACAGTGCTAGTACAATTCTTGTAGAGTAACTATGGCAACAGAAAACTAATGAACAAAACTAGAAAATCCAAAAAAACAAAACAAAAAAAAAACAAGATCCTGGTGTGGAGGGGGTGTTGCCTTGGAAGAATGGGAAAGAAGAAAATAAGCAAAAACTGGAGTTCTGGTAGAGACAAGTTAGAAGTACATAAAGGATGCGGTTCTGAGGAAACCAACAAAGAAGGTTGCTAGGCTACAAAGAAGCCTGAAGTCTGGAGGATTTCTATGAAGGTGCAGGAACCGCGGAGGTCATTGAGGATGCCAGCATTAATGATGTAGAGGTTCTGGAGGTCAGCTGTACAGGAACTTGGAGCCTGATGGCTGATATTGCAGAGGGTCTATAGAAATAGGAATTTCGATGGCTGGTGGCAGCAACAGCAGTCAGGAGTCTTGAGGCGACAGAAAGCCTTGGAGCCCGCAGATCAGCAGAGCAGCTGAATTTCTGGAGACCAGCAGCTGAAAGACCTTTGAGGTAAAAAAAGATGACAGCAAAGTCCCCATGAGGATTCCTGGAGATGACAGCTTACTGGGACCCAAGCCAAGGCTCAGGAGTCTTGTGGGCAAGGCAACCCACAAAGAAGCTCTGGTTCTGGGGAAGAAGACCTACGCAGAAGCTCCGGGCATCCAAGAAGAAGTTCTGGAGATGAAAAAGACCCATGATGGAACTCTGCAGTGTGGTACCCAAGAGGAGGGACTGCTGGTTTTGCTGCAGCGGATGCAGAGGCCACTGCTGACAGAGGAATTGCTGCTACCGCCGACAGATAAGGCAACTGGTGCTCCAGTGGGTGTTGGAGCTGCTGGTTTTCAGGAGCAAAGAGCAGGTTTTAAGGTTGTAAAGCGTGGTGCCAGCTGTTGCTCAAAAGGTTGATGGCTCAACTGATGTGGAGGAGTAGTGGAGGCCCCAGTCTGACTTCCCAGAGAAGTCTGGAATGGAGGCGACAGCCAGATCCCCAGGAGAAGCAGTGGAGGCGTCTTTGTGGTGGTGGCATCAGCGCTGGAGGACGAAGCAGCAGCAGGAATGGAAACTGGTGCTGACACGAATGCAGGGCAGATTGGCAGGTGACGTAACTGAGGTGGATTGAAGTATTTTTCAGCCAAGTCTATCTGACGGACCAGGTTGCACCCCTCACCCCCAACAGCTCCACAAAGCCCAAGGAGGATTAGTGAGGAGTCCAGTCATTAAAGGCTTAAAGGCAATCAACCGCCACATTTAAGCGCCTGTCAGCTGAACAATGCTTGGCCACAGTGTCATCGTAAAGACTATCAGTTGTTCCTAAATAATCCATTTCTGCAAAAATTAAATCTGCCGGTTCTTGTCTGCTGGTTTCTTCTGTTAAGATGTTTGGTTGTCGATGGGACCCAAATGTAGACAAACAGAGGAGCTTGATCACTGACAAGGAACTGATGTACTTTCCTTCTCAGTTATGTTTACCCAATTGTAATCAACTAACAACATTTTAGTGCATACACCATACCCATGAGAAAGTTAGCCTTGGAGGCAGACTGCCTGAAATGCTGCTCGATGTACTTGGGCTTGTACGTGACCATTCCGATGAGGGAGTTCAGCTGGATGACGACCACACATAAGTAGATCACATACACGGGGTGTCCAAGAAGAGTTCTCAGGGTTGGAATAAAGTCTGTGAAGAAGCAGATCTAGTTATTGGCAAAAGTATAAAATAGATAAACAACAACATGGGAAACACAGCTGATTGGAAAAGTTTAACATCTTCAGGTGTTGGTAATAAAAGCAGAACAATCCGCCCGTCATCACCTTTAGCCATTTCTACAAAACTGCTGTGTTCCTCTGCTTGATACTTGTACTTAGGATGGGGAGTGTCCTTGATGAAACTTGCTTCCTCCTGAGTGCCCATCTTTCGGACCCTAGAGCCAGCTGTGGGCAGAGATCGGGGCAGAAACCAGAACGGGATGGCAGAGAGCAAAGTTATGACCCCAGCTATGAGGTAGCCCAGCCACCAGGCACCCACCCATCGGGCATCTGCTGGTGTAATGGTGATGGAGTCTATGTTGGAGAAACACAGCGTAAAAAGGCATACAAAGGAATTAAATGATTTTAGCTTAACACATTTCAAGAAACTCATTGTGCAGGGTTATGAATACTAAACAACAGGGTGTCCTGTGTTTAAATGTTTAAACAACTTCCTAAAACCTGCTGAACTCTGAACCCCTTTGCACGTCTTCACACACATGACAAAATTTTTACAAAACTAAACTGTTTTAAATCAAAAACATAATCCAACAACTTGTATAAAAAAAATCTTGAGCAAAGACCAGTGGAAGTTTTCCTTTTCTGTATGACTATCAGTTTTTGATATAGTTTTTTTTTTTTTTCATTTGCCCAGTCTTATTTACAACATTCATTTGGGTTTGCAGTAAAGATTCTCTTTGAACGATTCTCTCTCAGTGCAGAATGATTCATTTGAAATTCTTTGGAAAAGACTCATCACCCTTTCCCAGATTGACGGACAGCAATATGTTGGTGACTTCAAGCTGAAATTAACGTGGGTTTTGTAGCAGGACAATGATCCAAAACATAACAATAAGCTCACCACCAATGGCTGAAGAAAAACAAAATGAAGACATTGGAGTGGCCAAGTCAAAGTCCTGACCTGAATCCCATGTGGCATAGTTTTTACAAAGGCAGTTCAGGCTGGAGAACTCTCCAATGTGGCTGAATTACAATAATTCTCCAAAGATGAGAGTGACACAATTCTTCCACTGGGCAGGGAAAAGACTTAGTGTCAGTTTTCACAAATGCTTGATTACAGTTGTTGCTGCAAAGGATGGCCCAACCAGTTTACTAGGTTTAGGAGGAAATCACTGTTTCACACAGTCATGTGGGGTGTTTTTTTCCCCTCAACAATGAACAGCTATACTAAACAAACATGCAAAAAAAAAATAAAATCAAAAAGAAAATTAGGAAAGGGGCAAACACTTTTTCATACCACTGCATTACTACAGTATATCATTACATATCAGCACTGGCAACGGAAGCATGTTTTGAAAAAGTATCTTAATTTAAATACGGAAAAAGTAAAGATCTTTGGAGTCATTATGTATCGTAGTAATTATGTTAAATTTCTGTCTTCAATGCTTAATTAACCAAAAAATTACTTAAAGAGCTTAAGCTCTTGGCAATGAATGCTTTGTAAGCACAAAACCCGTCTCATTGATCGCCTCGTTACAACAAAGACCCGCAAAGATCCTGGATGTTACGTTAAATTAAATTATACTGGTAGTCAGAAAAGCTTTTCAAAGCCTTAGCACTTAATACTCATCTTTTCATCCGAGCGTTACGTGAGTTCATATTGATCCTGAAAACTTAACTTCGTATCATTTTCAGTTTTCACTAAGGGTTGTTTTTCCTCAATTCAGATCACTGTATTTTTTTTATGTAGAAAACACTTTTCTTCATTCTCTAGACTTCCTAACACCTCAGTTCACAAATTATGCTTTGGTTTTCAGAAGGGTTTCATAAAGAGTTTAAAAGATAAATAAAGTAGAGCTTTACTCTTTTGTTCCACATTGTGAACATTTTATTACAGTTTCAAGTGCTGACACTGACTTGACCAGGTTGTCTCTGTTGCTGACTGCATTCCATTCAAGAACCTTTACAGGATTAGGAGGGTTCGGAAAAAGCTGGGTTTTCTTCTTACCTCTGTTGCACCTGTCTTTCTGCCCCCTCACTGCACTCTACTTGATTGTTGCCTGTCAGAGAGCTTTGTCCTCCGGGTAGCCTCCTTTATCAGCTGACTGGCATTGATTCTGTACACCTGTTCACGGTTCTGAATTGTGCATACTCCACCCACTGCTGGATTTGATAACCATATGCATTGGTTTGATGGATGATAGGGTCTTTTTCGCCTCACCAGTGACGGCCAGTAATGATGAAACAAGGTCAGATATGCTAACAACAGCCATACAGACCTCCATTGTCTCTACACCCTTTAATCCTCACAGGGCTACAAGCGTACCAGTCCCTATCTCCAGCAAGAGGCAAGGTACACCTTGGACAGGTCACCAGTATATCATATAATGATATACAGACAAATATTCACACTACTTTAGCCAATTCAGACAGATACATTCCTTTAACAGTTATGCTTCTGGACTGTGGAAGTAAGCCAGAAAAAATTCATACATGGAGAATGCGAGTGAACTCCATTCACAAAGACACCAGGCTGGGATTCGAATCCAGGTCCTTCTTGCTACAAAGCAACAGTGCTACCATGCAACCCATGCTAACTACATCGGCAATAATTTCTCAGCATTCATAGCTCCATGTAAACAACATGGGAACGTGCATTCCTGACTTCCTATTCCAGTCTACAAAGTATTTTCCAATGCAAACAAGGGGTCTAACTTTGACAAGGTCTTCTGCAGACATTTTAATTAAAAAAAAAAAAAAAAAAAAAAAATTCTGCTACTCCTAAAAAGACATGTCAAAGCATACCTTCAGAAAAAAGCCTAGCCTTTAGCAGGCTGCTACAATAGCAACATGACAAACTTGTTCCCAATAAGTATGAGATGGCCAAATGTTAAATTGGTAAACAGTAGATTTAAAATGGCTTGCAACTGAGCACAATTAAGAAGTGCGATTCTTACCATTAAACTAGTATCCATTGTTATTGCATTAAGCCATATGATACAATTTATTGATGCTTCCATGAAACCCTCATTGAAGAAAACAGTAAAAACAATGTTGACTATACTGTTGTTCCTTTAGTCTATCTTTAAGAGAAATCAATATTCTGATCATTATAAGACATTTTTCATAATAAAAATAAATGATACAATAAATGATTATCCCTGTTTTTATGTTCAGATGGAATGTTGCTCTGAGAGTTGTTTGTTATAACCTAACCCTGATTTAAACTTTAACCCTGACATGTCTGATTGTTACCAAATGTCTTCTAACAAACCTCTAAGACCTTCACAGAACAGCTCTGTTTATACTCAGTAATTTATGCATAAGTAGAATCTGTATTGAGTGAAAAGGCTGAATGTAAATAAATACACTTTTCATATTCTTTTGAAAAATAACGAAGAAAGAACTGTACTTTGTGTCGGTCTATCACATAATGTCTAGATAAAATAAAGTCCTATTTTGTGGCTGAAAAGTGAAAAAAGGCAAGGGATGTAAATACTTTTGAAAGGCACTGTATCAAGTTTACTACACTCTGGATGATCTGAAAATAGTGCTAATACTCACCCATCTTCACAAACCCAATGTCCACGTAAATCTTGGCACAAAGGGAGCCTAGCAGGTATCCAAACACGGGCCCCACAACCGAGATGGTCTGCACACAGCCTAGGTCATTAGAGAAAATAGAAAAGCTCCTCATAACTGCACCAAACTGATAAAAATGTTTGAATGACAATGTTGTTTTTACACATATAATCATACTGTACATGTACACTAAGGTTAAACCCTTTTTGTCAAATCCTAATTTGAGTGGAAAACATTTGCTGACTCAGGTTGTTCTTTTTCAGTAATACGCATAATCTCCTGCCGTAGAACAAATGAAAGATTTATTGCTTTGCTCATATTCTCGGAACTAAAACAAAAACAAGACTGTTGCACATGGCAAAGCTTTCTGCAAACATGCAGTTTTTTTGGAGCAAAGGCGCTGCACTTCAAAGTGAACATTGTTCACTGTTAAAAGGAGCCACACTTTTAGGATTTTTTTTTCTTTTTTTTTTTTTTTGTTTTGCTTACCACGGAATAAATATTGATGCATTTAAAGCATTGAAAAACCATGTTTTGTCCCAGTGAAGCTTTTCTTACCAACGTAAAGTGCAGCATTCTCTTCTGTAGCAAAATCATCTATGTAAGAGATCCCGAGGGGCTGAACGGGCGTCTCCCCAATCCCCCGCAAGACGTTCCCCAGGAGAACGTATATCCACATCGATAAGTTGGACTCGCCTTCGCAGCCTAGAGTGAGAGATATGTCTAAGTTATAATGTAGCCTTTGTGTGCTCTGCCTGTGTGTATTTTTTATTTTTATTTTTTTGTAAACCCACCTGTGGATGGCACTTGAGGTGAAAAACCAGGTTGGTCTCCCAGTGCATCACCTTGACAGGGAGATGAGTTGTACGTCGAGTTCACCACCCATCTTACTGACGTTTCAAACTCGTAGCTGGGCACAAAGATATCAGCAGGTCAAGGGCAGTTATTCATAGACCGATTTAGATTTAAAGTACTGTTTTTTTTATTTTATCAGCATGTTTCTTATCATTGCAAATAACATTAACATTTTTTTTTTGAGAGGTCCAGCCGGATTCCAGCTTTTAATCAAACAGAGAGAGTAGAGTGATGGCCTTCTAACATCAAAAACCTGGAGTTCATCTTCAATGATAATTTGTCAACATACCAGTGAAACAAGCATTTATGTTAAGGGTTTGATTGCTATATTGTCAATAGATATGCGTTCAATAATTATTGAGAAGGCCACAAATAAATTTTAATATCCTGTTTTTTAACATGATATAAATTTTGGGAATAATTTTCTGTTTTATATTGTTTTATTTTACGTCTCAGAAACCAACTTCTTGGTTGAACGAAATTAATTCAACAATTTTTGTCAAGGCCTGTTTATTCTAGCAGGGCCCTTGGGGGAGCTAATACCCATATCCAGTGGTTAAATAGAAAATAAAACATAAATTAAACATAACTCGTGAATAACTTTGTAATTTTCATATTTCCCACATTATGAGCTTCACACACATTGCTGCAAGTTTTTTAATGAAAGTAATCCACAAAATATGCGTGAAAGTTAAATGTTTTCCAATAATTAAAAGATGACTTTGTTATTTATTTCAACTTCTGCCAAACATAAATGGCTAAGAATTTTGGATTTTTTCTGGTTTTGTTTGGATATCTTTTCTTTTCCCTTGTGATTTTAGACAAGATATAATTAATAATAAATAATAATAAAGCAGAAGTGCTTAATTGTATTATGTACTGCAGCTTTTTAATGGAAATGAAGTACTAACATTATTAATGAAGTTACACAGTATTAATGTCAAAAAGAAAGTTCTCCTTTGGTAGTTTTCTGTCAAACTTTATTTGTGTCACGTCGGATTCGGATATTTGTACATTTGCATATTGTGCTACACTTGATCAGCTTGGCTGCCAGCTGATTATCACTCTTTTATAAACTAACAAGCCAAAGAGGAAATGACAGAAACAACTGGATTAACAAGGTGAGAAGGTCGTGGATTTCTACATTCACATCTGACAAAGAATAAGCCATTTGTTTTTTTAACTTACCGTCCAATGATGAAGTGGGGCAGAGCAATGATGAAGGTGCCAAAAGACATCAATAAGCATCCCAAAGATATTATCTTTGGTCTATGAAACTTAGCCCCAAAGTAACTGACGAAAGCTATCACCAGCAGATTACCTGTGGAGATTAAACCAGTATCACCATTTAAAAATGTTCATGCTGGGTGGCAACAGCACAAACACAGCAAGAGCGAACAATAAACGATCACTGTACGCATACGTACAGTGCAGCAGATACAAACATGTTCAAAGAACAGATCGGGCTCCCCTCAGGTAATTTAATATTTCAGCTACGTATTTTCAAACCTCCTTTTTGATGTTTGGACGTTCCCGTGTTGCTACACTGAGGCAATCCCACAGGAACTCAGAGAACACACGCATTTTCATAGTTGCTTTAGCACCTTTGAGTTTTTTTTTACTTTTTCTGAGAACGTTGCCTCCACCTGTCTGAAAACCCATTCCTTATTCTTGTAAGCAGCAGGTTGTATCTTACTTTGTGTGTCAGTCGTGCAGATTATTTGAGCAGATCATCAAAACTCAGGGGATTTGACATAAAAGAGCGTGTTTGTATGTTACCTGTAGTTATGAAAATTCAACATTTTTGGGAACTGAAAAAGAGGAGAAATAGGCAAATTTGAAGAAATCTGTGTCTATCTTCACATTTTTACACAATAGTGCGGTTAACAAGTTTTATTTTGTTTGGAAACGTTTCAAACTGAAATGACAGAGAAGCCAGTACTGAGGCAGGTTGGCATCTACAACAAAAAGCTCACAACTGAGGAGTTTCATAGTGGCTCTAAATATTTGTCCTGGAGATAAAACCTGGATTAATGCAAAACAAGAGAGTGGATTTACTTGCCAAACAGCCATTCATACCCATCCCAAAGGCATTAAAATGTTTAATATATTTATTAGGTTGGCTGTTAGGCATATTTTTCAAACTGACAACAACTTTATGTTGATGATTTGGGAAGACGTTCTCGTTCTCACAAGTGACGTCTTAAATCTCTAAACAGTTTTAGAAAATCAAAAGCAGACATCAAAGTTTTATCATTTCAAAATTCACTCTGCCTAGGTTTTCTGACACGTATGCTCCTGTGGTAAATGACAGAAAGGCAGAAAAATAAACTTTCATCACACAGTCCAACCCATTTAGACAGGATTATATTTCTACAACATTTCCATCAGCGATGCATGTGTGTAGAAGTTCAGGCCATTGGGAACCTTAAAGTTCTGGGGAATATATAAGTAATTATGTGTGAATTTGATTTAGAGAAATATTAAGTCAAAAATGACGTGTAAAAAGTCACACAATTTTTGCTAGCTACAAAAACTAGACCTGTTACTTGAGCTCGTGTGGCAGATGCAATTAGTGTCATGATTGTAATTTCTCATTACAAATCTTGGCTCTGTCTCCAAAAGCATTCCTGGTCTTTGCTCACTGCTTGATTCACCTCTCGTCTTTCTTAAGATTTTCTTTCCTTCTCCCTTCACACTGCCCTGCTCTGCCTCCATGTTACCATGGCAATAGTCCTATGGAAAAAGCTTGTTGCCTAGGCCACATGAGAGAAGTTGTTTTCACGAGAGACGGAGCGATGGAGGTAAAGGGAATAGACACATTCAGCTACGATCTGACGTGCCATCATCAACCTTTTCTGTTGCAGATGAGCGTCGAGGGGAAAAAGCGCCACTTTCCATGCCTATAGTGCTACTAGAGGTCTAGATTGTTATGCTAGAGCCACTGATAGATGACTAATCTTCCTTGACCCAGATTTTGACTCCCCACCATAATCTAAATATGATTTCTGAGAAACAAAATAACAGAATGGTAAAACCTCTCGCAGTCATGTTAAAGTGTAAATAGGATAGGTTTGCACAAGACTATGCCACAGACCGCATATAGCTTTAGCAGTGAGCGGGTAAGGAAACAGAAAATGGGCCCTGGGTTCACAAAGTCGTTGCTGTTTCTGTTTACACACAGACTTGTAACAAAAGTGCATAACATGCTCTGATTCATTTTATTTTGAACAGAAGACAAAAATAGGATATGCAGATTCTAAAGGATATAAAGATATGTCATTTTTTTTCTTTCCTTTTTTAAATGACAACAAAAAAATGATAACTTCTCCCATCAGATTGCTCCACTTAATAAAGGGAAAGAAGATGGAGCAATGTGTTTGTATAGGAAAAAGTCATTAGACAGACACCATTCAATGTTATTGTAATGATCAAGCATACATTTTCTAAGACAAATTTCAAGTGGTCTGCTTTATACCTTCTAAACTATGTTTTTGTCATAAGTACAATTTATAATGGTATAATCTCAAGACTCAGTATCTGCCACATTTTTTTTAGTTTGCATGTAAAACAATTTTATTATGCTTGTGTCCTAGTACATTTTTCCGTTGAATGCCAATGACATGGTCTATATGTCTGGTGGAAAGATTGCTTCGGTTTCATCACAATTGTCTCGGCGTTTAGCGTTTGCTTCAGCAAGACTTGGCATTTCATGTTTTGTTTGAACGGTTAAATAAAACTAAGTTAGCTTTTACTGTTGAGTTACAGCATGATTTAAATCCAGAGATTAAAAGGCAAATTGTCAAACAAGTATCAACGGAGGGGCGGCGTGCTGTGCTGTACAGAGCTAGAGCTATTAGGGGTTCAATTCAGGACACTGAGGCCTTTTGCTTCGTCTCTTTCCCCCTTCTTTTTATGTCAATTCCCTGATTAGCAATGCAAATAAATCCACTACTGTCACATAAAAACCTTAAAAAAAAAGATTTGTTAGCATCAACTTGGATTCTTAGAAAATTTGGTACATGTACATATAAATTTAGGACTTAAGTTAATATGATAATTAGATTTGGTATAATTCTGTAAAATTAAAACTGAAGTAGTTTCTGAAGGATGACCACATAGGTAGTGACGAATGAGAGCCACAATTTTTCTTTTGATGGTTACAGAAAGGGCTTTGTATTGCGTGGTCTGGTTCTGCACTGCGTTGTGTTTTTACTCTCTTTTTGATTTGCACTTTAAACCTTCACTAACTAAGCTCCATCTAGGCACAGGCATTGCATGTCAGCATAAGCTGCACATTTTTAAGTGTGTGGTTTGTGTTCATACTTGACACTTATGCCTATAAAACTAAACCAACAAAGAGCCCTAAAAACGCTGCTATTTCCAACTTTTTTTTCCACCTTTGCAACGCTTTCAAACAATGTGATTTTTCTTGAGTTTGCCTTCAAAGCTTCAGAAACTTTCATAACCTGGTTCCTGAGGGATCAGTCCAGTTCAAGCTGGATTGTCAGTGCATTACAACAGAGTTTCAAAATCACATCTCTGAGTGGCATTTTTCTTGTTGTTGTGAAAGCCATTGAACATTTACCAAAACATAATCCGAATGTGCCACGTTCAAACGAAATGATAAAACAGGCCAACGTTTTAGACAATCTTGTCTATTTTCCTGTGTTTGTACCTCTGCTTTGGCCCTGAATAGATATGATGTTTATCTGAAAACCCCCAGTGGACGTTCTCACTGCAGTGAAATGATAAATGTGAGAGAAGGTGATTTGCATGTCAAGATCAAAGCTCGTAAATGTCAGCTGATCTGTCCGCCACAAATAGCATCACTGGGGAGTGTGGACAAGACGTTAAATTAATAACATAAGGGAGTAACGTTGAAAGAATCATCTTACAGATTCTAGGCTATGGCTGGGCACATCTTTGATATCTTTGTCATGTCCTTGTTTGAGACTCTGACTCACCACGCACAAACACGCCAGTGTGTCTTTTTCTTGGAAATCTCATTAATCTTTTATCTGTGGTCTAAATATCTGAATGACCCATTCACATTTCCAGCAGAAATATCAGCAAGAAAAATAGATTTGGAACATGCGGTACGAAACGTTAGCAACAAAATAACACCAGTGACAGACAGGCCCACTCACCTATCTCAAAGCTCCCATCAATGACTCCTATTAGGTAGCTGGGGATGTCAAAGCGTCTTTCCAGCTGAGTTATTGTGCTCTTCATGTAGCTCCCCGACAGAGCCTTGGCAAAATAGGCGAATGACAATGATACCAGAAACATCTGGAGAATAGAATGAGAGGAGGAGATAAGAGAAAACATTTACAAGAACAAAAAAAAAAAAGGATTTTGCTATTAGAACAGTGGCAGTTTGTGGATTGGGCACCATGCCAACGGCAACAGCTTTGACTAAGTTCATAATCTTTGAACAATTGGGGAAAAAAAATCTTGTTTTAAGGCACAAATGTCTAGGCTACTTAAGTGTGTTACAGTTTACAATATGATCTTTAAAACAATATGACTTTAAATACCCCCAAATGTAAAGGTTATTGGTATTTTTTTGTCTTTGTAATAATAGAAAACTAAGGACTTTATTGAATATTGCGTAGTACGCATAATTTGTCTCTGAGGTCAGAACCCTCATCTGGATGGTCACAATCAAGCGGGTTTAAGGTTTGATAAAACTTAGCACTCGGTGGTATTTCCCACTTCATCCCAACCTAACCCCATTTTCTTTCTGTTAAGTGTAGCTCGTAAAACTGCAAAGCAGACTATTAGTAGATTATTACAAAGATTTTTGTGATAATCTACTAAGTAGATTATTACATTACATATCTGCTTTTTGTTAAAGCAGGAGCAAAATGACCCCAAGTCATGTGCTAATTCCTACCTAGCATGTGGTTGGTATGAATCATCAATCACAGCCAGCTCCCTTGTTATTAAAAAAATGGTAAGTGTAAAACAACACCATCTGGAAAAGTAAAAAATGGTAGAGGGTGAAATAATCAACACACGGTGTAAAGCTACAGGAAGTTTCTGTGTTTAGATCAAATTAGTAATCTGGTCCTTGTTTTACTGTTCTTCAGCTTGGATAAAAGGGGAAGGAGTCTTCTCCTTGGCCTGCAATCAACTGCTCCACAATGCAGCCCCTAATGAAAAAAACGGTTTGTTTTGCAAAAGCAGACGTGGGGGTGTCACAAGCTAGCATGTACTTTCTTACATATGTCTTTGACAGATGGAAGCAACACTAAAAATGAACATAGTCACCGATAATTATACAGGTTTGTCACCAGGTTGTACTATTAGCAGGTTTTATGTTTCTTTTTGGGCTGCACAGTGGCGCAGTTAGTAGAGCTGTTGCCTTGCAGCAAGAAGGTTCTGGGTTCAATTCCCAGCCCTGGTCTTTCTACATGGAGTTTGCATGTTCTCCCTGTGCATGTGTGAGGTTTCTTCCCACAGTCCAAAAACATGACCGTCAGGTTAACTGGCCTCTCCAAATTGCCCCTAGGTGTGAGTGTGTGTGCATGGTTGTGTTTCCCTGTGACAGACTGGCAACCTGTCCAGGGTGAACCCTACCTCTCACCTGGAACAATAACTGGAGATAGGCACCAGCACCCCCTGACCCCACCAAGGGACAAGGGTGTAAAGAAAATGGATGGATGTTTCTTTTTGAGGCATCTTATGATATTCAGTCCAACTATTAAGAAAAACATTTCCTTTCGCAACGTGAAAAATGTGATATTCTTTGTTTTGTACTCAAAGCAGGCCTGTTGATTTCTTGAACTATGTTTTATTATTCCACAGACTTTGTAAGTAAAAAAAATATAGTTAGTGGAATAAAAAATAAATAAAGACATTTCCAAGGAACATTTGGTGGCTTTGGTTGTTTTCCTTACAATGTATTCCAGTCAATTTACACCCCAAGAGAAACCCTGCAGAGGAGAGTCACATTATACACAGATAGATACGCTCTGACCATATTCACAGCTGATCTTCTCTTATGAGACAGCAGTCACTGTAAAGTACACATTAAATTCACAAAGTTACTTCCAAAGTTACAAAAGCTAACAGCCCACTTCCCTTTCAGCTGCTACTGAACTGGAATCAGCTGACTATGCAATTAGTTGTTGCACAACCACATTAAACAAAATACAAAGAGGAAAAAAAAAATACCCAGAATACAACTTGGTTTTTATATATTCAACACTCTTTACATGTAACCCTAGCAGGCTGTGAAAAAAAAAGGTCTTAGCACATTCTCATACATAGCTTTCATTTACATGATTAAAGTGGAACAGAGCGCATCAGTGTAAACAGATCACGCTGGCCACCACAATTGGCTCAGGGGCTTAAGCTATTACACATTGTCATGTGCATTTCCTGGGGATGCTGAGTTCCAAACAAGCATGCATATACATTAGTTTCCCCTTCTGATGCCAGACATTGCTTTTTCTAATGCATCAAACGGCCTTTGTTACTGTCCTTCCAAACTAATAAACAAGAGAACGTAACTAATTAACAGGACGAGCCAGACTAGGCGGTTGGTTTGCGTCAAGACAACCCCACATAAGCATGCATAAGCATTTACCATTACAGTAAGTTAGGCCTTTCAGTCAGTGTTTAAGAGTTTACTTGAGTTAACTGATGGTTTTACCACTGTGTGTCTTTGTGCTTCAGCAGACAAGTTGTTATTGAATTATCCTCTACGCCAGGTCATGGAAAAACAAGTA